TCGAAATCCAATTTAACGATTCCACTTCGCTATTGAAACGATCCTCGTGAGTAAGACTCGTGTAAACTGGTCAACGATTCTATATTTTTACAGGCAACGCGAACGGCCGAGCTGATCCGAACGTCGCGATTAATCGAATCAATAAACGCGCACAACTTGTTTACTACGTGCTGCAGACGAACGAAAAACAAAGTTGAAGCTTGTAAAGAAACTCCGTTATTATGGCAGTTTACACACTTTTATTTCTTAAGCACGAGCTTAATTGCTTCCTTTTCATATATAACCTCGATGCGCGTTCCCCGAGTATTTTTCCCTCGGAAGAAGAGAAGGAAAAAAGTTTTCCGCCGTGGCCATTACCTTTCACGTGTTTCTTATCACTTTATCTTATCCCTCCTATTCTTGTGCCGCCACCACTTAGGCGTCTCGAGAATTTCCTGCAACCGACGACGAGAGGAATCTCTCTCGCCGAGAGAAAGGATGGAAGACCCTTGTGCGCGATTATTATTGAGAACTTTTGCTCGCTATGTCCTCGCTGTGGCGCTTCTAACTCGCGTATACGACCGACTGTTTAGTTCCTTTGTCTGCTTTATCGCATTTTTTCGTTCTTCCTTTTCCATTTGCAATTGAAGAATCTTCATTGGAAGATCGCAAGAATGACAAACAACTATTGCAAATAAACTTCCACTCGACGTCAGCCTGCGCATGACACTTGAATTCCCTTTCCACTTGGAATAATCCAGCGCCGTCGAAACAATCATTTGTCTCTCTCGCACACACGACTTCCCCTCGGGCCACGCACATACACTCCTCTTTTTTATTCTCTCGCTCTCGCTCTCGCTCTCTCTCTCTCTCTCTCTCTCTCTCTCTCTCTCTCTCTCTCTTACTTCTCTCGGGAGACGGATTTTTTTTTCTTTCGCGCCCCCTCGCTCTCCGGAAAAAAAGTTTTTAGCGTGTCTGAACTCGCTCACGGCGACGCGGGTGGCGCCTCAGACAAACGCCGCGATGGTTTCCTCCTCTTCTGGAATTACTTTTTTCATGCGTCACGTTATACGGTCGGGATTGTTGATCGTATCCTCGCTTTATGCGCGTTTCCCGAGAAATGACAATTTAATAATACCGTGTCGATCAATGGGACTTTTTTTTTATTTCGAGGGTAGTAAAAGCACTGGCTCCGGGCTAGATTGGCTCAGTCTCCTAAAAAAGGGGGAGAATATTTTTTATTGCAGAGTTACCATTGTTTACGGATACGCATCAGACAATTCTGAGGTTCGTTGGCGTTGGCTCTCACAATTGTATTACCAAGTGCCTTTTTATACCTTTTATAAGTTATGTATCAGATTCGTTGCGCAACTCACTTTCATGCATTTCAAATACACTTATCAAGATAAAAAATATATTTTGAAGCCGGCGACTGAAGATTTCTCCGTTGCTGCTGCTGCTGCTGCTGTTCGAGTGAAATAGTGACTAATACCACTCAAAGTTGAGCGAATTCGGCCGCTACGAAAAATCTGCTCTGATCCAAGCATTTTTCATGCACATTTACACGAAATTGCATTGTTACACCTTTTATTTACACTGAAATATGTGAAAACGATCTATTTCATCAATAACAGTCTTTCAGTACACGAGAATAAAGTCAGACGTTACGTTTGGCCTTCTAAAACGATGTGATAAACTGTACGGCAAGTTTGATTTTTCAACGTATTCCTTTGGACGACCCATACGAAAAGTTCCCCTCTTGCGTGGCTCGAGATCGAATGTAACGGACACGCCCATTTTTAACGGACACGCCATTTGACCAACAAGCGTGACTTTTCTTGCAGATCGTACGCTTTGGTTTATAATTTTAAGCGACGCCTACGTGCCATTTCGCCAGTAGGCGCTTCCTTCGACAAGACTTTACTAAGCGAAGTCACTCTTCAGTTCTTCTATCGCATCCTTCGAGATTCTATTGAACACAGAATGGAATTGATTTGCTTTCATTTATATAATCAGCTGCGCTTTTTCACTCATGATCAATTACTCGTGTGCGCTGCCTTACGTTCAAATTAATCCAAGTATATCACTAATGATCGTAATAAACATCCTCCATAGGTTTTGTAATTATAACATGGAAAAATATTTTTGCTGAAATTAAAATTAATTAGTACAGTTGATACCGCTTGTCAAGGAATGAAAGCGCAATTGAATTAATAATTATAAATTAATCTGTTGTTAATAAACCGACATAGCCAGAAAATTTCTTAGCTAATTATATTTTTTTACAGGTGATTGAATAGTTTACAGAAATGAAGTTTCAAATACCTCAGATCGTTTCGAGCACTGTTACTTATCAAGTGTGAAAATGCTAATCATCACAAAACAAAGATTATTATGACGTTCAGTATTTTCACGTTCAAGAATAGGAAAATTAATTACATTGCTGTAACGGCGCAATTATATAAATAAAGCAATAGTGCTGAAAAGGATCTTCAAAACGTATTTCTGTAAACTACTCAATCGCTAGTAAATCATATTATTAGTGAGCAGTGTTATAACGCACCAAACAAACGCGCTGAACAAAAATGTTGATAAGTTATTTCCCATTCTTTCAGGGGCCCATAACTTACTAAATCGATCGATTATGTCACTATGAATGTAATTCAATATCGTTCTACTCCGTTTAAATAACTATAAAATTGTGTCTTTCGTTAAAGTAATATAAACTACCATTAACAAGAATTTTGTACTCATATAGTTAATAAGCCAGGTTGAAATAAAATAATCAAATTTTCTAAAAAGGAAAGAAATTGGCAATAGACTGGTAGACGTTTAATGACGCTAGTTTTCATTATCCTAGCAAACAATAGAGTAATCAGTTGGACGGATTATGCTGCCAGAAAACTAAAAAGAAAAAAATTATCTCCGCAGACGTGCAGTAGAGCACGACAACGTTCGAGGGAAAACGGAGCATGTAACACCAGCAGCTGTAGGCACCCACAAGGAAAAAAAAAATAATAATCACTCGTGTTCCCCCTGCACTTTCACGAAGGAAAAAAACGAAGGGAGAGCTCTAAGAATGCCACGGCGAAATTAGCCGCTGATGACAGCCGATTTCCGTAGACACTGCTGATGAGCCGAGTGGCCTCGTTACTTACCGATAGGCAGCTGGCTTCTTTCCTTTTTTAGACTGCTATTGTTGCGTGGCGGATTAGAGTGATGGTGGATTGGGCAACGAACCACTCTTTTTGGCAGTCTCTTTTCGCGCTTTAATCGTTGGAGTACAGAGGGTTATTTAACAGACTTACACGAGTCGATATTATGGGATTGAGATGTGTTTTTAAAAATGTTCTTTTCATTTATTTCGATTTTTACACAAGCACTTTGTTCAAATATATCAATACTGCGTGCTTATTCAAATGTTTATCTAGTTTGCTGCGTTAAATATTTAAACAACCTTTGTGTCAGTGCTGTTCAAATTTAAGTACATCAAATCAGCGAAAACCTAACTTATTTAACGATATCTATTTTTAAATTGAATAATAAGAGTAGTAGTGACTGATATAAAACATTCCGTTTTATTTTACAATTCACTCTAACGTTGGTTTCAAATCTTACCAACTAAATCTTCACAAAAGTTTTACCGAATGCATCCAGTTTAAATAGATTTAATTTTTCTTGTGGTCAGCTGCGCCTGCAAATAATTATTGTAATTTCTGTTAAAATCAATGTCTTGCAAGCTATCGATTTTATGTCCGGAAATAAAATTATTTAAAACTTGCAGTAATTAAATTTAGACATAAAGTTATATAATTATGCATTAATTTGTTTTCAAGTAATATCGATCAAGATTGTAATCTCATTTTACGCTATTAATTCTTTTTATTATCTGAATACTCTCCTCAAGCTTGAATCAGTTAAAGCAATATAAAAGAAAACTAGACGCGATTTTGATGGATGCTAGATAAGCCTAGTTCTCATTGTGCTTTTTCGACAATGGGACGATTACTCTGATTGCGTTGCAACGACCAAATTTATTTGAATAAAAATTGCAGTTTAAAACGAAAAAAAATTTTCAAATACTTTGATAACGTTTCTAGTAATAAAAAACGTAGTATCTGACAGAAAGGAAAAAATCATAATCGTTTTAAAAATGTGCTTTTCATGAATTTCTGATAAATTAGCATCCATATTCGTTGAAAAGATAAATATATTGCACTGCCATCAATAGGACCAGGTCTCTACTTGGTTATTGCGGAGATTGAAAAATATTCGCTTGGTGGTCTCGAGGCAAGCAACAAAGCCAATAAATATCCCCGAATAAGTGCGGCAGGCGAAAACAATATGGTGTCCCCTCGGAAAAAAAAATTCCTCGTGTAGCAATCTGGCGCGCGTACGGCTATGTAATCTGGGCATCGACCAAAAACTTGGCTGCTGCCGTTCGTCGTCGCGCGAACAAAAGACGTGCAGGAACAAAGCCTTTTTCCAGCAGAGCGGTCATCGAAGGGGACGAGAGAGTGAGCAGCACGGCAGCGTGTCACTTGGAAAGTTGTGCAGCTGCTCCGCTCCAACTCTCGCACACGTGTTTTTCGAAATAATTGTTTGACCTTTAATTAAGGCCACGGCGATTGCTGCAGCCATTCGTGCAAGACTTACACCTACTGCAATTACGGATGGTTGGGCTCTAACGAGATGCGCCTTCTTCCTCCTTCAGCGCCTCTTTTTTCGCGCCCTCCAGACGAGCAGAAATGCTGTTTATTGGGATTCTTCGGCTCGCTATCGAAAGTGGAAAGGCTTTTCGGATTTCAGACTTGATGTAATTAAAGTCGAGAATTCATTCGTTTTTATGATCGAATACTTGGATTTATTCAATTGACTTTTGATCAGTTCGCAATATTTCATTAGAATACACAATTTATTAAACGTCAAATTCTAAGATATATGTCGAATCGACTGTAGCAAACGGAACGAGGATAATTTAATTGAGTCATCCATATCCCAAGTCCCATTCAGTCCGTCGTTATAAAGTCAAATTAAAATCAAGATACCATTCTGTTCACGATAATCTGGTTGATGATTCCATTGAATTTTTCAAATGAAGAAAAAGTAATTATTCAACTAGGTCAATGAATTTCAAATGAATAAAAACGAAGATGTAATTTTTTACAAATATAATAGTTTATTACATCGTATGTATATAATAATTATGTAATAAATAATACAGTGTCCATACGAAATTATTCGTTACCCTTATACAGTAATTATATCCAACTAAGTGGGTCTCTTCTTTTAAACAAATAGAGGTAGGGAAGGGCCACCCAACCGATTGCTATACAAATATTCGACGCGCATATAATACGACTTTACAAAGTAAAAAAGGAAATATTTCTTAAATCCATAAAATCACGATTATTTATATCCTCGTCATATAACCTCATAATCAGTCCACCGAAGCAATATCAGAACGCAGAACTCTCGAACCGCTAGGATTTTTTGGTTTTATTTATTTAATCTTTTTTTAGTTATTTTTTTGTCTGTAGTTACTTTTTAATATTGTATGTGTGTGTATGTGTATGTTTGTGTTGTCATGCATATCGTATTTCTTTTGTTACTTAATTTGTCGTTTATCTTACAGAAAAAACTTGTCTTTTTCTCCGCTCGTACTTACATCATATAATTATACGTATAATTATGAACACGTACTGAGTAGTCGCTCGGAATAACTTTTAGGGATTTCTGTTTGTTCAGCCACCTGCATCGTACACACGTGTGTTTGTCTATGTTTTTTTTTTTCTTTTTTGCTTTGGTATCTAAATCTTTACGCCGACGTGAATTTTTCTTTAAGAAAAAACTGGCTATATACCCAACTCGACATCCCTGTCAGAATTTCTCGCTTTACTTTTCCTTCGTATTACACGAGGCATGTGATCAGACACATTATTAGTTTACAAAACAACTCTTGCCTCGTCGCGGAGCTTTCGCGCAGGAATATCGAGATTTTTTTTTTGTTTCTCGCGCAACACTAAATTACACAATTTGTACATCTTTAACATCGTCCTCATTTCCTTATGTTTTATTACGAACGTTCTATGTATACATATCATACGCGTGCATATGATACACACACACATACACATATCACGCGTCGCGCTCGCGCGATACACACATTACAACAGCAATGAAATATAGTCAGCCTTCGCGTTTTTTTGTATGGTTGTTTCTCTCTCTAGCGGAAAAAAGAAGGGAAAACATAAAAATGCAGCGATGCCGTTCTCGCGATAATACTCGTTATTTACATCAGCGCGCGGAGCCCCACTGATAAGGCGCACTCGTAATTATTTTCCTAAGAGCGAGGATGTTACGCGGATGAGGAGGAACTTTGTGGCAACAATAACAACAAAGAGAAAAACAACCCTTCCACTACGTATACACCCCGCTTGATAATTTATTTGAGTGGGACTTCAGACTCGTTTGTTTACTTTCTTTTTTCGTCTCGTCGACAAGTAGATTAAGCACTTCTACTACGTGCGTTGTGTTTGAATTCATTCACGTTATGGATTCAAACGAGTAGTGATAACATTTGCAAAAGTTTTTCTTCGTTACGGATTTTACGAGCCTTGTACGATTTTGAAAAGCGGTCATTTAGGAAAAATAAATCCACTACAGTCTCCTACATGAGTATGCTGTTGCGATATCGACACGAAAGCGTTTCGTTGAGATGACAATACAGAATCTCAGCAAAACGTTTTCCACGACAAGACCAAATGAAAGAACCTTCGGCGCGGAAAACTTTGTTCGTAAGAACGGCATTGCCACATTTTTTTCAAAACTCGATTCTTTGAAAACTATATATATATATGTATATTTTTACGGACGCACGCTTTGTATAATATACTAGTGTAACGTTGCACTCAACCAACATTCACTAATAATCTTACATGCGTTTGTTTTCTTTTTCATTCCTTATCGTCGTCCTAATTTACGCCTTACATTTTCGGTTTTTTCTTCGACAGAGTTACGCTCGATACGAATCAATTGCACCACACGCTCATAGAATCACCCAAACGAGTTTAGTACACTTAAAGAGTGGAAAAAGGGAATCGGGTGCGTATCTCGACGGAAAATTTCCCCCCGTTTGGAATTGTATTGTCGTACACCCGGAATGGTTTTGCGAGCACTTTGATATGTGTTGATATGCAAATGGAAATTTTCCCTCTCGATGCATCTCTTGCGGTTGAATTTTTATTCGGGATATGGCGCGATTCATATATTTCTGATTTTTCATAAATAATCAAGATTTTTGTCCGGGATTAATTTGCAAATTATATACGGGGGTAATTTCTTTTTCTTAAGAAATGCAATTTTGGATATGTTTGTTGAACGATAATCAATAGAAATTATAGATATGTAATGATGATGTAATGATATTGTTTGTACGAATAAAATATTTGGAAGATATGTTGTAAGAACGATAAACAAGGATATGTAATTGTATTGCCGATATTTTTTTTAGTTTGCACCGAATTAAAAACTCAATCGTGCAAATTTTGATTTTTACTTTAAAATTATTGCTTTTACTTTTTCCGATAAGATATGTTGAATTCAAAAACTAACAAATTGACAAGTGTACAGTTTTTCGATTAATTCAACTTACACATCGTTGGTGATTGAGAAGAATTTTAAGTCTTAATTGTAAGACTATAAAACTATTCTCTTAACGTGTTAAGCATTACTAAAGTTGACATTTGATTAAGCGTGGTGATTAATTGATATTTTTTCTTGTTAATGATAAAAATGTTGATATTTTTAATCATTATAATTTGAATAATTGATAAGATTCGATACATATGACCGTTGTAATTTTGATAATTGATAATAGTTCACATATATATACATATATTTGTTTTCCACCGATATTATCGTGATTTACGAGGTATAATTGATAGTTTGAAAAGGAAAATCGAATTCTATATAGCAACGAATAAAAATTCAACCGTAACCGATCGAATCCATTCCCCTGTACTAACACTTAATTAATTACTCTAAACATATGATTACACTTAACTCAATTTTGCTTTTGTTAACCTTAGAATAAAAGTGATAACTACTAGTCAAGTCTTGGAATATTTTCCATAATAAAACGCATAATATTGTACTTTGCCATTGCAAACTTAATGATACATTATTGAACGCATTATTTAAACTCGTAAGTGTCATTCGAAGTGTGACATTGTACCGAGGAAACAGGCCAAACTCGGAATGTTGAATAATGGCTAATCACGTTTAGGAGCATCGAAAATTCAAACGATAAAACTCAATTAAGGGTAAACTGAACGGGAAAAAGTGCATGTGGAGCGAATCGAGGATAAAAGTGCACGGGGTCAATCGGATTCAAACGGACGAACGAAAAGTAAAAAAAAAAAGAAAGATCCATAAGTATGTACACGTGTTCAATGTGAGGCAGAACCTAGGGAAACAAACAAAACAAGCGGCGCCGGCACGTCGTCGTCGTCGTCGTCGTGTATCTCATTCGTTCAGCCTGTCACCTCGGGAATGCCTAATATCGTCGTCGGAGCGTTTGAGGGATTGATAAATGCGCGGCTGCTTTCCTTGGTCCGCGTCTCTTCTACGAGACGCCGTCAAGAGTACGAAAGGGGCGGGGGATAGTCTATTGTTTGCCTCGTTCAATTTTCGACAATTCAGTGCCATGAGCATCGGAGTCATACTGAATGCGATACGTGACGGCGAAAGAGAGAGAGAGAGAGAGAGCTGCTTTAGTCTTTGAATCGATGTACTCTCGCGCGCTTACGTAAAGCCGCGCGGCAGCGCTCGGCCGCCCCATGTGTCTGCGCGAGCTCGCGTTATAACTTTCGTCTGCCCCGCGTCGCGGTATTGTTAGTGTACTGCACGAGAGGGGAGAACGAGGCTCTCCGCTCGATTGCCTTTTATCGCACGCGTGCGCCGTTTTCAGAATTGGCCCTCTTTCTTTGCCCCTCGCAATTCTCAATCGACGCTCTTTCCGCGTTGTGCGACCGCGGAAGAGCGATGACGGGCAGCGCTGCTCTCTCCCAAATAAAAGGAAGCTCGTGCGCGCGCTCACAGGCACGAGATTGGATAATCTCTGCGCCGCTGTGGCGCGGTGATCGTCGAACGAGCGATCGCGCGGCTCGCGCGGCTCGCGCGCTTTTGCAATAAATTTTTATCGCTCCTCGGGAGAAAAGCGCACGCTAATGCTCGCTCCGCACGTGATATAATGTCGAGGTTGTAGTGCTGCCCGATCAATCAGGTTTTGCGGCAGACAAAAGAGCGCCACACACCGTATATTATACGTAAGTGTGTGTGTGTGTGTGTGTGTGTTTGTTTTTTTGCTTGTTCGAACAACAAGAACAACGCATGAACAACGAACGACGAGAAAAATTTCAATTTCTTTTTGCTTATCGCAGACATGTAATTCAAAAACAAATTGTGTGAAATTCGCATACAGTAGACGTCGCACTCGCACCTGTGATTGAGGATAGAAAGATGAAGAGAGAGAGTGCAAGGGAGGAGGGGGGGGAAGAGAGAGAGAGACAAAGAAAGTGACAGAAGTATCGAGTATGAGAGAAGAGTGCGTGTGAATCGAGAGTCCATCATCTGTATGTACATGTAAAACGCACTATACACTCCACTCTAGCACAGTCTTGAGCCTCGTGTTGCACTAGACGTCAGTACCGGTGCCTTCCTGATAGCCCTCGTCGGGCGACGAGCGCGTGGAGCCGAGGACGCGCTTGAGAGCGGACACCGGCGGCAGCACCGGCACGCCCTTCTGCCACACGCGGATCTGTTTGGCACCCGGCGGGAACTCCTGCAGCTGTGCCGCCGCTGCCGCGGCCGACTGGTGCGCCGGCGTCGGCGTCGGCGTCGTCGTCGGCTGCTGCGACACCGACGGCCTGCACACCTGCTGCTCCCAGCTGAGGCACTCGGAGTAGAGCAGCTTGCCGGCCTCCGGCTCCATGTCGACGAGCCGGCTGCCGTAGGTCGCGGTGACGTCGAGCGCCGCCGCCGCCGCCGACGCCGCCTGCAGGTAGGTGGCGGACGAGGGCGGCGGCGGCGGCGGCAGCAGCAGCTCGTCGCCCGAGCCGCCACGCGTGTCGCGTATCAGGTCCGGGTTGTCGATCAGCTGCGACGAGTACGCGGCCGCGCTGCTCTTGGCCACCAGGACGCCGGGCTGCAGGCGCATCGTCGACGTCGTCTCCTCGTAGCCGCGGTTCACCAGATAGTGGTCGAGGCTGTTCTCCGGCACGTGGTGATGATGATGATGGTGGTGGTGGTGGTGGTAGTTGTTGGTCGCCTGGGTGCGCTGCAGCGCGTAGCCGGCGACCGCGGGGGGCTGGGTGCTCTCGCCGGCGAAGCTCGTCGTCTCCACGAGCTCCTCGGCCTTGCGCCGGCTGATCGTCGACGTGGCGGACTGCGGGTCCTGCGCCGACTGCGGATTGCTCGTGCTGTTGCAGCCGTCGAGCGGCAGGTTGTCCGAGTTGGGCGCCGCCGACTTGACGTCCTTCTGCGGCATCCGCTTGAGCCGTATGAACAGCACCATTATCGTGAGCAGTATCAGCAGAATGAGGACGACCAGGGCCGCGGATATGCCGGCGATCTGGCCGGAGCCCAACGTGGACATGCCGGCCGTGCGCAGCGATACGTGCAGCGTGAAATTAGCCTCGACGCTGCCGGCCGGGTTCTCGGCGACGCAGAAGAACATGGAGGTGTCGGTCTCCTGAGCGTTGGTCAGCACCAGCGTGTTCCGCTTGCGAAAGAAGCCCTCCTCGTAGATGAGGATCTTCTGGTGGTTGTTGACGGTCGAGTGGTTGGTGTAGAGCTTGCCGTTCCAGATCCAGCGCACCTTGGCGGGCGGCACGGCGGTCACGGTGCAGACGATGCTCGCGTTCTCGCCGATGGTCGCCTCGGCGTAGCGGCTCGCCAGCAGCATCACCGGCGGACAGGCGAAGTCGTCGATGGACAGCTCGGCGAAAGTCCGGTTGGCGAGCCGCGCCGGCTGCTGGCAGACCGGCGATATCGTGGTCGGCAGGTTCTGGTTGACCAGCCAGGACTTGACCTCCCGCAGCTGGCAGTCGCAGATCCAGGGGTTCTCGTGCAGCTCGATGCTGCGCAGCTTCTTCAGCGGCTCGAAGGTGCCGAGCTGCAGCGTCTGGATCCGGTTGTGGTCGATCGTCAGGGTCTCGAGCATCTCCAGGCCCTGGAACCCCTTGCTGGCGAGCTCGGCCAGCTCGGCGTTGGACAGGTCAAGCTTCACGAGGCTGGGCGTCTCCTGGAAGGCGTGCGTCTGTATCTTCTGCAGCGGGTTGTGCCCGAGGCTGAGCTCTCGCAGGAAGGGCGTGTTCGCGAAGCAGGCGCTCGGCACCTGGCCCAGCCTATTGTGGCTGAGGTCCAGCTCGACGAGGTTGGTCAGCCCCGCCAAGGCCTGCTCGTCGATGCGCTGGATCTTGCAGGCGCGCAGGTAGAGCTTCTGCAGGTTGGTCAGGCGCACCTTCACGAAGATGTTGTTGGTGAGGGCGCCGATGTCGTTGTCGCTGGCGTCGAGCACCTGGGTCTCCGGGTCGATACCGTCGGGCACCGAGGTCAGCGAGCGCGGCTTGCACTCCACCGTCCTCTTGCCGCTCTTCCACTTGCACGTGCACACGTCCGCGCACTTGTCCACGTTCGCCAGCACCAGCGGCCCAGCGTCGCAGCACAGCAGCGTCAGCAGCAGCGACAGCGGTCTCATCTTCTTCCTCGCCTCCCGCGCCTCCCTCGCGCCTCGTCTCGTCCGACCGGGGCCCTCGGCGGCTTCTCGCTCTCGGCGGCGGCGGCAACTCGGGTTCGCAAGCTCGCGACTTCAGCTGGCGTCCATCGCGTCGGGAGCCAAGCACAGGAGAGGAAAGATGGAGGAGGCTCGGTGCAGCGCGAACCACCACACTGACTGCACTCGCTCGGTCGCGCGCGCCCGATCCGAACGCCAAGCCGACTGGATCGCTACTGCGGCGGCGCTCGCGAACTAGGGCGCTCTTTCTCTGTCTGGCCGTATGCGTGTAACGCCGCTGCCGCTGCGGCCGCTGCCGCTGCCGCTGCCGCTGCTCCCCCAGAACCCAACGGACCAGCTCCCGTTCGTTGACTTCGGCAGGGGGGTGTCTGCGCGCGCAACCGCCTGCCCTCCTCGCCGTGCCGCCGCCGCCGCCGCCACCATCACCGCCACCACCACCCCCCGCGCTGTGCGTGCGAGAGCGAGAGCCAGACCAAAAGCAACCCGAGACATGGCTGCCGACATCTATCTGTTTTGCTCTCGGCACTCGAGGATTGACTGCGTACGAGCGGCCGATTCGCCGATCGATTTTATAACGTGGCATTTTTCTTCGTTCTCTCTCGTTCGAGAGTCTTTTGCAGTCAAGATGCCGACGCTTGGCTTTTGTTATGCATACGGGCCAGAGGCGAGCGAAGCGCTGGCAGGGCTGAGCGGCCTGAATGTTTCAATCGTATGTAAGTCGATTACGTAAATGAGAGATTGGATTTGCTGAGGATTTTGTCTATCGAGAATTACAAGTTTCTCTTGTAAGCTTGTTTTTTAAATGTTATGATGGGAGACTATATCCGCAAGTGGCCAAAAACGGGAACGAGGGGGCGTACAAGGAAACGAGTAGATTTTTTGAGGGCGTTATTTCCATTTTCAAAATCACCGATGAAGAATTTATCGAGTTTGGATCGATATACAACGTTCAAAGCTTCATTTCAGCTACATTTTACGAGCAGCGAGTTAAAAAAAGTCGGAAATCGATACAAATTGCAAGTGCAGCTGAATCCACAATCATCTTTTTACATTTTGATCCAAATGAATTATTTGCTCTATTTTCCAACGTTAATAGTAATCTCGTTAGTTGGACTGCACATATAAGATCATCGATATCACTCAAGAGTGTGTAATTAACATAAATTTAATTACGAGTACACGAATCAATGAAATCTGAGGTCGACTCTCGATACGTGTGCAAATCTGAAAAGATATAAATATTTTTATGAGAATTGGGATGTACATTTTCGAAATACGAACTCGATGTAACTCACGCGTGTTATCCACAGTCAACCATTGCCCGACAACTTGGCCTGGACTTCACCACCGAAAAGATAAATTTTCGACGCGCGACTATTGATAACGACACCGACTTTTTCAACAATTGCGCCAGAAATATCCTCAAGCGTGTCGCTCTCGCATCGCTAGTTTCGTCCCCTAAAGTGCCTGCAACAATTGCCCACCGTCTGCGAATCGCTGAAAGCAGCCGTAACTATCTGGCTAACTTTGCATTTAACGCTCTCCTCGCCGTTAAAAACGCCGCTAACTCTATTCTGCATGATTTTCAAGTTTGCCTTCAACGTTCTCTTTATTAAAAACCGAGGCGAACTTTGGAAACTTGGCTTTCGAGCTCTTCTCGCGCGTTCCCGCTGACATCTCTGACTTTATCCGTGATGTCGCGGCTTTTTCAAATAAGTACACCAACAGTCTCTTTCACTATGACGCACGAATTTTCCGGGACAGCTCCGCGCTATAGCGTTGATCGTCTTATGGTCACTTTGGATTACCATTCGACTTGCAGGCATATCGGATGCTGAACTAAGAAACGCAAGGCAGGTTAACGCGATTTCGACGCCTACGCCGAGAATTCTTTTTAGTCTTCGCATGTACAAAGACGAACGTATTTGAAAATATTAGGACTGCAGCAACGCAACTGCACAGCACGAAGATGCGATTTACGTATACTGTCGAGGATGTTAGAGACCACTAAACTGCAATATACTCACGGGCGACCAATCCGATTCAAGATTTTAAGTGCCAATACGTATATACCGATGTAGATTTTTTTGCGAGGTGATCAAGACTGCTAATTTTGCCAATTGAAAAAGCAATATCGAGCGAAGTTTTTCCACGTTTAAGAACTGTCTACCGGCGAAGATTGAAAATAGCAAATGTGTCTAGAGTTATAATTCACGTTTTCTCTCTCTCGAGACAGTGATATAAGAGGCGACTTTCAAAATTAACTGCATTATTAACAAAAACCCAAAAAGTTCTTAATTCCTTAAAGCGAGTTTATTTGCCGCTCGCGAGCCAAAGTGAAATCTTATGATACTATCAAAAACTTGGACGTTGTAAGGAGGCTCTTTCTCCTTTAATCCACACGACCCCGATTTTCGCCGTGAAATATATGATATGCACTTTACTTTTCGCCTTTTGCCAAAAAAGAAAAAGAAAATATACTAGTTCTGGTATTAGTATAATATATTCGAGAGCCTTAGTGCTCGTGCAACTTTAAGGCGGCTCTAATTAAACGTGATTGTCGAGTATAAAGTTCGAATTTGCATGCGTAATCTCGCGCGCAAATTTAAGAGTCCGTTTGTGTATTTTCAGAACGCCTTGCCAAGTTTTTGAAGAGTGAAGGGGGTGGGGTAGTGCTACTTCACGTCAGACAAGTTGCGAAAATAGCCCCACTTTTAAATTCCTTGCTGCACTTTCACACCAGACCGGCAAGCTTCTCGCAACTCCACTTCTGATTTATACATTTTGAAAATATTTATTGCGAGCAATTTTTTTCCGTGAAAATTTCGAAAACTCGTCGATATTTCCTCGATCAACGTTTGCCATGTATGAGTACAAGAACGGAGCTGCCTTGTGAATTTTATGCCTCAAAACACTCTCTTCGTCTATCCACACCGTTGCGCGACAAACTGGTAAGCGGATCGATTAAATTAAATGACCATTCGTACAAAGTGATCGTACAGGCTACCCGAGCCTCGTTGCTTTTTTAACTTTAATTGCATTGCTTGTTTTCACGTTTATCATTCACTTCTGCGTTGTGTTCACGCAGTTATACCAAATGAGCGCAAATTAGTTGTAAATAATTTATATTTTAAGGTCGCTTTCTCCAGCTAAAATTGGATCTTCGTGCCGGATATCTCTTTCTGTTCAAATTTCATTAAATTTCGTTTATTTACAGTTACCATTTATAATTCTCGCACCTCTACCTCAATTCAGCGTATGTACCTCTTCAATATGGCATTAAAGAATTCAAGTGATTCAAAGTGAGCTTTTCACTTTACTTGTCATTCTTTATCTATTACTTGTTTTAAATTATATACGAAGCTCCGGATGAAGAGTCTGCTATTGTGTGTACCAGGATAAAATCAGTCAATTTGTTTATTCGTGTATGGATTAGATAATGGATCAAAGAAGCGTAATTTTATATCCAATATACCATCGAGCTGCATACCTATGGGCGCTTTGTTGTCACAACTTGATACGAGTCACGCGTGTAGATAGTCACTTGAGAGGTCCACCGTGCGCTCGATACTTACCTATTCTAATTCGTATTTCTGCACATGTTAACAACTTGCGCTCAAAGCGCGTCAAATAGACAAAAAAATCTTCAAAAGTTAAACTTTCAAACTTCATTAAAAACTTTCGAATCCCAAACTTTATCCCCCCCCTCCAGCCCCATGTTCGTTAAGCGTCACGACGTTAATTCAATAATAAAAGTTTTGCATTAAGTAAAGATCACACTTGCGTATTACCGCGAGATGATCGAACGAAAGTAGCGTACATGATTAGGGTAACGATAGGCATATTTAGATATATAACATTTGACGTGCAACAATGATCAACAAGACAGTGCACAGCGCGATAACCCAACGGAAACAATCCCTCGACGAAGCTTGCAGGGCTCATTCATCAAATCCCATACACACATACATACCCACACACATGTTCGCCATTCTAATTCATCCATTTCTCGTACGTCTGCCGCAGCTACGCGTCTATTTATCATTCGTCTGTCTCGCTGTTGTATATCGCTCTCTATTTATATATGATGTTTGACGATCGTCTCTTTTGACTATGCAAATAGCGGATTCCCTCTTTCGAGAGATTCATCCGACGTTTCTATTAGCGCCCCACGACGGACGTCGTTCGTTTGGCGATCAGTGTCGCATTAGCGAGGATCAGACTGCTTTTTTACGGCTTCCGCGATATTGCCATTTCGAGTTAACCCCGCGCGCGTAGTAATTGCGTTCGCTCGAGGGTTTCGGAAATATTATAGATGGGGATATTCGATTTCGTAGTGATTAGTGAATACGATGCCACTTCATCTGCACAGAGGCGTTTGAACTATGTAAACGATATTGCTATACGCGGGTGTTCAACTCGATTGTAAACTTTGCAATTTTGCGGACCAATCGGTATTACGGAAATCTATTTCGTTTCACGCGTTAGTTTGCTTTGTTTGCCGTTCGTATAATCTTAATTTGAAAACGTCATCTATAAACACAAAATTGATTGTACGCGTTCTTTAACAGTTTCTGTTTAAACGAGCCTATCGTTCACGAGTAGTTCTATTAATTTAGGCACTGATTTCAGTTGTATCTATTATACAGTAATACGCAGCCCAATATTTACATCTAGAATAACAGAGGGCAAGTCATAAGTAATTCAGTGGATTGGACGTCATAAGCGAGACTAGGCAGGGCCGACTATAAAATTCGAGCGGTCTGCTCTCAATTCGGCGTGAAAATAGCCTGCTTCGGTCTCTCGAGTAGCGGCCATTCTCGCAGTAACTTCATCAGTCCACACACACGCGCGCGCGAACGTACCCATACAGCGCCCCGAAATCCCTCACGGCCAAAGTATCAATGTAAAAATGTAATCTCCCGGGCGAGAGAGAGAGAGAGAGAGAGAGAGAGAGAGAGAGAGAGAGCCGTAGCGGACGTGAGCGCTCGCCCCTCGCAAAAAGGGAGACGACTTCTCTGCCGTCTGCGTTGCGGACGTTAATCAAGAGAAAGGGGAGCGAAGAGAAGCGCACCCCTAGGTAAACATCGCCGCTCCCGCGCGCCTCGACGCGCCGAAAAATTTAATGCAAACGCCCCGCGAGGAGAAAAACCTCGCCGGCTGCGAAAGGATAGAAGCGGAAATCAGCATTCCGCCGTCGCCGCCGCCGCCGCCGCCGCGCCTCTAACTAGCCGACATCTTTCTCCGCGACTGCGAGAATCTTAATGCCACTTGCTCCTTCTGTTATATCGGTTTCGCATTGCGCTCGGCTCTTTCCGAATGAATAATGCAAAATGCCGAGATCGATTGCCTTCTGCCTGCGCGACAATGACGCAATCGTCTTCACGGATGATAATTCTTTCGTTTTCTTTTTTCTTTCTTTCTCTTACTCTTCGCCGTCTACTCGAGTTTTCCATGCGATTTCGAAGGCTATCGTATATTTAGCTTTTCATTCGCCAAGCGAGATCTCGTGACGGGTGAAACCGTTGTTTGGCATTCGTTGAATGGCAGCGATGCATCTGCGGATTAACGCGACATTTTTTTTCACTCCTGCATGAGTGATCGGCGTCAACGCTCTCGTAAGAAGATACGATTTAACGAGCGAAGAATAAATTGTCAAATAAAATGAATTTCAACGGGTCTGTTTACTTTAGCTGCCGCGCACGTAGGACGCTAGTACACGACGTAAATCCAATTGCGATAAAAGCATAATAAATCTCGGCGCAACAACAACAGTCATTGAAATCAAAGCTCGTAATGTTTCGGCTAACGTGACTCAACGATAAGCGAGAGAGAGAGAGAGAGAAAGCATCCGAACAATCGTTGGAAATGAGAGAGAAAGAGAGAAGCTTATAGGGCTGCACATTTGCATCGAAAGGAAAAGGAGCAGCGGCAAGCATTACAGTGTTCTCCCCTCTGTGTGGATGGGGTGGGATTTTGCGATGCCTGCAGATGTATTTCGGCTGCTGCGACGCTATGAGCGCAGACTCCCTCTCCTCGCCCAGAAGGGCCTTTTAGCCCTAATTGGCCGGCGCAATCGATATCGACGCCGCCGCCTTCCATTTAGCCAGCTCGTGCCTTTTCTTCCATTGTCAGTGCTACAGGAATCGATGGTTATTGCTCTCAGCTACTTTTCTGCGTTATTGTTCGCACGGCTCTCTTGTCGCATCCATTGTCGTCTTCTGCCGACGATATATACGCGTTCCTTCTTTTTCCTTTTCGGCGTCGTCGTTCTTGCCGGAAAAAGATACTTCATTTTTTAGTCAGCGAAAGCGTTTCACATTTGGTTTTTACCTCTCGCCGAATGAAAAAGATCGCGGCTTCAATAGACGCTAAAAGCCTCGACGAAGGATAGACGTTCGCATTAAAAATGTATTTTAACGCGTGAGTTGTTGTGAGTGTGGGTCGGCGATTTTCCAAAGTATTTCATTTCACTCTGAATTCGTTTCTCTCCACTTTGATCCTCTTCCGATATTCATTGATAAATTATTTGGATGCGCGAACATAAATATTTCATGCGCCACCACAATGGCAAAGCGTTTAATGTCATAATACGTACAGCGTGCTCCAGTCGGATTGTGCGCGCGCTCGTCAATCTCTAGCAACCTTTGTAATTTGTACGATCCACGGACGAAGCGGTCGTGCATCGGAAAATCGCGGAGGTGGAACAGGTCGGCGTTATTTTTTCGAAATAAGGAGCCCATCCGCGTTCTCGCGAGTGGAGGCGCGTCGCGCGACGACAGCGACGACGACGACGCGCGACAGCGTCGCGGATGGCTTTCAAACTTTTTCGACGGGCGTCAAAATTCGCCGCTCGTCATCGCGCCACACAGCGGCCGCGCGCTGACAAGTTGCTGATAAAGTTAGTCGCGCGGCTTTTGTCCGTTTCATAAATATGTAAAATGTGCAAATCCAAGCGACGATTTGCATTTCCTGATGGGCCGTTGCGTGCCGCGCCGTTGGACTCGCTGTCACGCGCGCCGCGGGCTATTTCGAGAGCCGGCTCGCAAAAACGTTCGCGCTCGCGGTTTCGCCCGCGTTCGGCTGCGATCGCCTCCAAAGGCCAACGCCTCTCTCCGGGACCGCCGGCAATGGGGATAGCGAGCTAGGGGCGCAGGAGGAGCTCTGCGACAAATCGCCCCGACGCGGCCAGGGGTGCACCGGTATATCGCGAACGACGCAGCGGCCAAGCGACATTCCTCGCAACTAATGGAAATAGTGGCGGTATTTCACATATCGGCGGTAACGGAGAGTGCAAACATTTGTATGCGCGCGACTTTGAGAGAGCGAGAGGGAATGAAAACAATGCTTGTATACCTGAATGGAATTGAAATTCACGTCGTTCCGTGGTAGCTCTCCGCGAGCGAGCGAGCGAGCGCTGGCTGGCCGAAAGGAAGGCAAATAGTTTGACTGACTGCGAAGCTCATCGATCTCCTCTCTCTCTCTCTCTCTCTCTCGCGGCTCACTCGCGTGCTACCGGTCTATTAAGCCGAAACTATGAGCATTCGGGCTTTTTATCTTGCGCGCGCCGCCGTTATTTGTGTTCTTTTTCGGTTGTTTCTTTCCTTTTTATTCAGATCGACAGCGCCGCGCGCATCGCGTTCAACGGCTTGCCGTGGCGCCTCTCCGCGAACATACGTGACGGAGATGGTGTGCGCTCTTCGCCTTGATTTAGCACCTGGCGCCGACACCATCGGAAAACTCGTCCAATGAGAAAAGCCAATTGCGCATTCGTCCCGGCGGGGCTCACTAGAATTGCCATATATATGTATATACATTCATAGAGCGGCCAGCGACGGCGATGAATTCGGTGGGAATTTGCATTTCGATTAGGCGCCAATCGTCATTGCACTCTCAAGACGCAGCCCTCTCGCGAGCGAAAAGAAGAGGAGGATGGGTCCCGCTCGTGTTTATCGCTCCCAACGGTGGCGTGACGGGAATGCCGTGCAAGGCCTAATAACGCTCTCTGTAAATTGCTCAGTCCAGTCAAACGGGGATTCATTCGTCCCCGGCGCCTAGCTTCTCACGCGCGCGTTTTTTTTTTTTTTTTTTTTTATTTTCACAGGCAAACTGTTTTTTTTCCTCGTCGCGTAGTGATGATCATTCATTGGAAGGGAAATCATTTGTTTCCACCGTCGTCCGATGTGTGCGTGTATGTGTGTGTGTGGTCGAGCGAGGAATGATGTATGTGCATGTGCGTCTTGATCTGCCGTGTGACTGATGGTCGCGACGCGCGGCCGACATCAATCTAGGCCGGGCTACTAATGAAATCTCGTAGCAGTGCTTTTTTATTCCTCGGCCGTTACGGGCCTTCATAAATAATCAGTTGTGCGTCTGGGATAAGATCCAAGACAAATAACACGGAGTGCTGGCGCGCATTCGGGAGGAGGGCAATTGGTCAAACATCCTACAAGCGTACAAGTAGTCGTGTATCTAATTCACGAAAACGTCATTCACTCCGACATCGAAAAGAGCACGACGCGTCGCGTTCACGCTCGAGCGTGCGAAACGATGTGCGGCTGAGTAATCGCATTCGGTCCGACGGAAAAGTAACGAGCACTGCGTCTCCTTCGTGAAAAACTTTACGTGTGTCAATTCAGTTTCAAATGCACCGGCCGCAAACTCGACTGGTTTTTTCATTCGGCTGTGACGGACTAAGGGACGCGGTATTGCCGTCGCGCCCCACAATTTCCGACAGACGTCTCGATCGAAAATTCATATAAACTCTTCGGCGCTCGCGGAGGATGGATACGGCGATTCACCCGCGTGTAATTAGTAATTTCGGGCGGGAAATGGTTGTCGCCCGCACGCGCGGTTTGCCTGTCCGCCCTTCCCTTTCTTTCGCCGTCGCGATTGATGGATCGAGCGAGCGTCGCCGGACCATTTGTCGCGAGTCCGCTTTTTTTCGCACGAGGATTATTACTCGATCGCGAACGGCGCGGATGTTCAAGACGTTGTTCCCGTCTACGACTGGGAAATCGAGCATCGACGGACGCATCGATCTCGCACGCGGCGACGCGCGCAGATCGATCGAGCCGCGAGCCACGAAGGCGCACTTAATTACCATCGAGCACGCGACTTGACCTCCAACAAAACAGCAATTTATTTATGATGAATTAGGTTATGTAAACGTGTAAAGTGGAGACTGAAGTTTAGCGGACTTTCTTGTTAAAATATAATTATAGTTAACACGGGAGGAAAACAGAAGACTTAAAGACTGATTAAGCTGTACGCCCTTTCTGTGCGACATCTCATGAAAATCGGGCAAACTTTATCTGAAGTCGGATAAAACATCACGTAGCATAACAAAAGTTAGAGCAAACAAAAATGAACGGAGAAGCACGAGAACGTAGTTAGAACAAACGACTTTGATAATTTACACCATTGAGCCATAGACAGCAACGCGCGAAGAGTAAAAGTAATCGAATGAGCGTCTACAGCCGAATCCCACTGGTATTGTTATTTTTAACACGCCTGTGCATGTCAACGAAGCTCTGGGTCATCCGGCACCGCTCGCCCTTGTATTCCCAGCAAAGCGCGAGGTTCGGCAAGTCGGTGCAGTAGCACAAAGTGCAATTCTCGAACGTGAACGTCCTCGAAACGCAGGCGACGTACTCTGCAAACGCGTCCAAGATAAGCGTTATAGAATGCTTGGATATGTCATTTTGGACAATTAATAATGCGCTACTTACTCTGGTATGGCACGAAGTCCGGATCCGGGTAACGACCGCTGTTGGTACCCACTAGTTTGACGTTGAACTTTGGTGACGTGACTACTGTTCCTGTATGAAGGATGAAGTGTACTTCCGGTTAATTGTGTTATATTATCGTAGGCTTAATTTGATTTTGACTCGGAGCGCGTATTGTCCTTTTCTGATGGCTATGGGAGGAAACGAAGTTGAAATTACGGTATGGAGCGTTCATTTTATTTAAAATGAAATCCCGTTATGCGTAGCGGCTACTTTTATTGATAAAATTCCTTTTATTCAGCACATTTTTGTTAAAACTATAGAAATAACGATGAGAAAATTCTCCGCTAAATATTGAGATATTTTACGGCTTCGATCAAACAGTAAACTGCCGCACCGACAGCTTGGAATCACATCCGGATAGTAAAATACGCGTATCGGTCTCACGTAACCTTAAACTGTTTGTACAAATGTAGTGTAAATAGTTAGAGATTTTCTCAAAAATCGAGTTCGCAACAGTTTTCGTTAGATTTTTCGTTTGTACAAATTGCGCTAAATTATTTTTGAGAAAAAAAATCAATAGCATTGCATATCTTTATGCATATATTATAAAATGACGGCCCCATGCAGTGACATTGTTGAGGATATTGAAGATTTGATATCCTCCCAAGACATAACTCCAAAAGATCGTTATAGTTATAAAAAGACACACACAGTCGCATCGCGTGTCAAAAGAAAAACAAAGGAACAGATAGTCTATCCAGAATTACAACCTTACTCTAGTATTATTCCTGGTGTTCAGACTATTTTTATTAAAACATGGGGATGCACGCACAACAGTTCGGACAGCGAGTACATGGCTGGTCAACTTGCTGCTTTTGGATACAATTTGACAGAGGACAAAAGTATTGCTGATTTATGGCTTCTCAATTCTTGTACAGTTAAAAATCCAGCCGAAGATCACTTTAGAAATGAAATTGAAGAGGCACGAAAGCTTGGAAAATATATTGTCGTTGCTGGGTAAGTCTAATATAATGTAGTGAAAGTATGATTTGTTAAGCACACGAACTTGGAACAAATTTATATTGATTCAAGGTGTGTGCCACAAGGAGCTCCAAAATCAAGTTTCATACAGGGTTTGAGCGTGATTGGAACACATCAAATTGATAGAGTAGTTGAGATAGTAGAGGAAACATTGAAAGGCAATACAGTTAGAATTTTAAGTCAAAAGAAAGTAGCTGGTAAGAAAATTGGAGGTGCTTCACTGTCATTACCCAAAATTAGAAGAAACCCATTAATTGAAATTATTGCAATCAATACTGGCTGCCTTAATCAATGTACATACTGTAAGACAAAGCACGCAAGAGGTGAACTTGGAAGTTACAAACCAGAAGAAATTGTTGAGCGAGCCAAACAAGCTTTTGAGGAAGGTGTTTGTGAACTTTGGTTGACATCAGAAGACACAGGAACATATGGCAGAGATATTAACACTAGTTTACCAGAATTGTTATGGAAGCTCATAGATGTTATACCAAATGGTTGTCGTATGAGGATAGGCATGACAAATCCACCTTACATCTTGGAGCATTTAGAAGAAATGAGTAAAATTTTGCAGCATCCCAAAGTTTATAGTTTCCTGCATATTCCTGTTCAATCTGGCAGCGATCGAGTTCTTTCAGATATGAAAAGAGAGTACACCGTCCAAGATTTTGAATGTATTGTTGATTACTTGAAAGAAAGAATCCCAAGTATAACCATAGCAACAGATATCATCTGTGGCTTTCCATATGAAACTGAAGAAGACTTTGAAGAAACAATGAAACTTTGTAGAAAATACCAGTTCCCAAGTCTCTTTATTAATCAATTTTTCCCAAGACCAGGTACTCCAGCTGCACTGATGCCTCAAGTGTCAAGGCAAGAAATTAAAAAACGCACAAAAATGCTTTCCGAATTTTTCAAATCCTACGAACCGTATAATCACAAGGTTGGCGAAGAGCAAGAAGTTCTTGTAACCGAAGTCGCTCACGATAAGCAACATTACGTCGCACATAACCGTTGCTACGAACAAGTTCTAGTACCAATGGAGAAAGAGTACATGGGAAAAATTGTCAGAGTAAAGATTGTATCAGCCTCGAAACACTCGATGGTTGGACAACCTCTAAACAAAGGAATTTCCTCGAATTTAATTCCGGCACTGGAGAAGGGATGTATTTCAAGAATTCCGGTAAAAGATGAGACGAACATGATGTACTTGTACGTTATAGTTGCGATTTTTTTAGTCGTCGTTGCGCGATTATTATGGAAATATTTACAAATGTAAATAAATTATTGTTAAGTATATTTACAATCTTTTGATTTCACCTACGTTCATCGAGATTTTTCCTTATTATTACTAGAGCGATTGACAGAATAACAAAGTGGTATAATCAGCGTTTAATCCGACGGATTGAAATTAGTTTTGCAAAAAGCTTATGAACTGATAATCGTAAAAAAATACTTTTTATAATTCTTAATACTATTTGAAATTCAAAGTAACATTTGAAAAAATATATTGTTAATTTTATGGCGATTCAATCGTTACGTTTGCGGCGAATGGTCTTCCCTTTTTAAACGTCATCGAAGAAAAAGTTCCACCTGGTTTAAAAAATTCACATGCCAGAGCGCAAAGTATCTCATCAGAAGCAAAACTATTATTTAAACAGTAAAAAATAACGCGAAAAGTTTACCTGACCGCTTGAAATAATAATCCAATGGGTTTTGAACAGTCTGCATGGGTTTGCCGTCGGCAACTGTGAAATAATTCAGAATTACATAAAGAAAAACCATCCCCAAAGGAAAACTTCTCCAGATAAATAAAAGAAGAAGAAAACTCACCAATGAACACCAGAGCAAGGGTAAAAACGGTTACAAAGTATTTCATGATTAGGAATGAAGAAATAACAAAAACTACCCAAGGTCTGGTCTTGTTCCGAAAACTGCGTGTTCGTCAAGGTGCAAGTGTCAGTTGAGGCTAATGAGAACAGGCGCAAGCATATATACCGCACCGTTGTTGAGAGATAAGTGGGGCGAGAATGAACATCACACAGTATGCAACAGTTAACGATTCCTTTTCCTCGGCACAAACTTTCCCTGCATTGTTTCTCTGGAAAGCCATTATTTTCGGTATGCCAACTGTTTGTCATCGATCGGACCAGTTTGTTAATTGGGTTCGCTCGGAAATTGAAACTCCGCGCCGCTGATAGTTCGTCAGGATAAGAATATCGTCATTTTCGCGATGAACATGCTGATGATAAATCCGTTTGGATCTCGCCTAAAGCGAGTTGTGGCGATCTGTCGCGCGCGTAAACTATTAACTAGACGTTTAGCAGATTTTAACGAAATGCTCGATCGGAGTGCATACGTCGCTTTGTTTGTGTTTATTTTTTTTTTCTTGCACGTTAACTCGAATTTCGATTGTCTCTCTTTTTTCTTTTTAAGTCCAATACATTTTATCAATAAATAAATCCTGCGCTACTTGGGCATCCTTCTAATGTCAATTATTTCCCTATTATTATGCCCGTTCGAAATCTTGATAGTGTACCTTAGTCAACGGGAAACCTATCGCCGTTCTACACATAGCGAAGATAAGAAAATTCTCGTGGAATTTCCCGAAAATTCCAAATTTTTCGAAAATTCCAAATATATACGCTCATATATATATTTACGCGAGCCGAAGTTAACTCACAGCTACTTTATTGTGGCCATCAACTCGCAAGCTGTCAGGAGCCAGCGGTGTTCGCGCTCGTCACATGAAATCATGAATACTGTGCGTGGCTGACTGTAAAAAAGGGTCAATGGGGAAAAATGAATATTTACCGGGGTTTGTAAAAAAACTTAATTAAAAGGGTTCTTTTTTTTCGCCCCAGCCGTTTCGAGATAAAAGCACTACGTGTTTTACTTTCTTTTCCTTCGCTCTTTCACGTGCTTGCTGCGGCGTGTGCGTAACTTTTTATTTGCATTATTTACATGTGGGTTTTACGTTCGAGTCTGATATAGCTTCTTTGCGAATGTAAAGTTTTAATATTTTGTCCTTTTGCGTACAGTACAAAGTGCTTTTATGTAAATAAGACTTTATTTTTTTATTTTAGAGAAAAAGCACTGAACATTTCCAAGCAATGTATTAGCTCAAGTATTTTATAAAGCAATACATTGTTAACGAGTTGATAGGTACTCTAACTCATCTCTAAATGAACATGCAGTTTATTATTACAGTGCGCAATGAAACTCTTATTCATTTAAAAATTAAAGATACGAGACATATATTTTGGAATAATTTTCATTCATTATTCAATCTATTTTACAAATACAATACACATAAATTATAAAATTACCAGTTATATTATTAAATTAGATCTCAGTCATATTTGAAACCATGTGCAGACGTTAACTAATTACTATTAGATGTTTATCTAATTAATGCATTCTTAAATATCTGCAATACATTGACACTCCATTCTTCTCACAGAGTCTCTTGTTCCTCATACATTGTACGCAAAGATTTTTTCTCACTGTGAATCAAAAATAAACTCACTTTACATTTTATTTTCACCTCAATTTTCAAAAAATCATCTTATAATATTGAAATAATCATTGTTCATTATTGATACAATTTGTAAAACATTACTTCGATGTAATAAGATAATCGGAGGAACCTAATGAAAAGGATAAGTTTGAAGAGTGTTCCTTTTTAAATTTTGGAAAAATAAATAGTAATCCTTATTTCTCAAGGCAAGAATCAACTTACCAATTCTCCTTTCGCCATCTCTGCTTTATTCCCAACCCATTTCACAATCCATCCTCGCACAGGCAGCTTTGCCATCGCGCCCGCAAATGAAAATATTGCAAGCATCCTTAAAAACAGCGCCAGGAGTGCGGAAAGGCCTGGACTCGGTCCACGTAGGTGTGTGCATTATTTCGTCGGCTAGGCTGTAAATCGCGTTACCGCCATTGGCCGAGCACAGACACTCGTGACGGTTATACAGGAAGAGGCTCTAGGGTGTGCAGGCAAGCGTTAGGTCTGACGACAGATGTACAACCGTTTTTAATTTGCCCGCGCTTGCACACGAGGGGGGTCACTTGGGCGGATGTGATATTAAAAAAAAAAATTTCGCTACTCCTGTTGTTATCCGCTCGACTGCTCTCCGTAATTACACGCTACGTGAGTTTTTCGTTTTGTTTGCCTTTCGGAGGTGTAAAAAAAAAAAAACAAACACGAGAGACGACTGTTTTTTCCTTTCGGAGATAATTGCATGTTTGTACTGCTCTTTTGTTGTCGTTGGGCCTTTCGATAGAAATTCGAAATGCACGAAGCTGCGTTACTCGAACGTATTATTTGACGCGGCTCACTCATTATATATTCGCTTTGAATAACCGGCACGACAATCGCCATCCATTTAATCGTAAAAAGTGTTTGCGTATACGTTCATCGTCGATATTCTTCAAATAAATAATGATTTTCGTGTTGACGCGAGCCAAACAAAGAATAAAAATAAAAATAATTAAAGCATATGCGTATATCGAGTCAAACAAACATGCGGGCATATATGTAAAGGCAAACAATGCCGTATGACATACTTAAAAGTTGATCATCGCGCATTTCCACTCCAAGGCAGGTGAACGAGACACAAGAAAAGGAAAAGCCATCGTTGCTACACACGCACTGATTGCAGTCCAAGGAAAAGCTCGACGACGGCACACATACCTTTTGTTTTTCATCGCCCGAGGTGTTATTGTTGCTGCTGCTGCTGCTGCTGCTGCTGACTATATACCGAGAAAGAGGGAAAAACATATCAAAGTTGGATTAATGGAAAAACTCTTCTCACGGAGCCGGAGGACGCCTTACTATCGAAGACGCTTTGTACGAGATAAACCGCGTATCAATTGTAATTTACTTTTAAACTCTGAACAGCGTGTTTTTCTTGCCTTGCTCGGTGAGAATCGTAGGCTTTAATTGTTCTTTGGATTAAAGCTAGATTCACGCTTTTTTACAATAATTCCTCGTCCAGTTTTACAGACAAGGTGAAATCTCGACGTCTATAGAACCATTCGATCTATCGTATTCGCGTTTACCAATCCTCTTTTGATTTGCCGTTTGCGATTGGCCAAATCGCGTACGAACAATCCTTTCTTTGGAACATGCAAATCCACACCCGCGGGAAAAAAGGATCGCAACCTACATTCCGTTGTGGCGTGAGAAAGGGCGGGAGGGGGGAGAAGAGCATAATAGCATAAATCTCATACGTGAGTTAGCGTCGTCGGCGGCGGCAGCACGTGCGCGTACGCCAAGACAAGCAGCAGTGGCGGCTGGTTGTTGTCAGCACTGCTGCTGCTGGCTCTCGTGGCAGATGCACGTGTCTCCCGACCAACTCTCGAATACGAGACCAGCCGGGCACTTGCTGTAACGTCGTCGTCGTCGAGCTAATGAGACGCCTCTTGCGTTGCTTGTAGCTTGCAGCTTGTGCGACAATTCGTTTTGCGCCAAGCTGCACAAGGCGTTGGCAGCCGAGCCCGTGCGCAGACACTTCGAATCTTCGTAGACGAGTATCTGGTTTGATCGGCAATCGACGCTCGCATCTTTCGAATTGGCTTTTTTTTGAGCTGTTGCTCGCGGGACAATGGAGCTCGTCGCGAGTTCTTGTTCGCAGGCTCGAAAGCTCTCAAAGCGCGCGAGTGACGGACTTAAAAATACACGCCGCGGGCTTTAAAAGTTATACGATGACGTGTATATAGCAAACCTTAATGAGCATTTTTCGAATTCATCTCTCAAGAGCTCTCGACAAAGCGCCGCTTCTGGCGAATAAAAAATGAACTAAGATATGTGCAGTCCTATCTCAAGAGTAGAAGATCATAATGGATTTGCAGTGTCGCGCACATCCAATCGGTGCAGTCCATTGACATTCCACTCGGACTGCATCTGCACCTGTTGCTGTCAATATGAAATGTCGCATTAGGGATGCAAATCATGTTCTCTTCGTATTCGAAATTCACCACTGAAACAAATAATTATTTGCATTTTATTTCTGAATCGCACGAAATGCGAACGCAACTGAAAGCTTCTAGGAACATTAGAGATTGCTGAATACGTAATATTGATTGCACGAATGGGTTAATGATTTACTTCGAAACCAACATCTTCGCACTCTTGTGGCCATCTAATCAATGACTGGAAGAGAAAAAAAGAAACAATCGATTGTGCAATTTGCCAGCTACGTCCGTGCGCGGAAGGAAAACAAAGAGGGCAGCTATCGTCCAGCGAATAGTGCGCGTAATATTGATGAGTGG